GTATGTTTATATTTGTGTTATATATGCGTTTCTGTATTTACTTAACATAATTTTTTTGTGTACTTGATCAATTAAGCATTTCCAATTACGTTTAATTAGATAGTTATCAAAGACTGTCTACCTGTACCTGATTAAGTCCAGCCACGATGCGAGAACATGATTTTTCAAGTGAACTAAAAAAACGAACCAATCTGATGGCTATAAATAGTTATACTAAAGTTTCTGATTTTTTTTTATAAAAAAAATTATGTTCAGGTATAAGTGCTGTACATTTTATGGCGCGATAAAAAAACATGAAATTAATTATTGTTCATACATGCACTTCAGCAATTTCATCAGTGCTAAGAAAATTATCTAAAAATTGATTGTTCCGATAACGGTCTGTAATAATGATTTTAAAATAAAATTTAGTTTACTAGAATTTCCACTTGAACAATGTCTTTAGATGGTGCGTATCCCAGAAAAAAACAGAAACAATCAAAGACGTAGAGCTTCATCATGTCGTCAGTCCTAAGACTGGTTGGACACGCTCCTCCACTCTTTCCTATCTTGAGATAATCTTCGCATTTCCCTAAAACTGGAACATCCACGTCCTTAACTATTTGTGAACAATAATCTAATCTAAGTCTACCTCTACTCCTTTTAACTCCTGTTTCTGCTTCTAATATACCTGTAGCTACCCCTTCATGCCTTAGGAAGTGTCCTATCAACTTATCTCACCTATTTCTTATTGATTGTTATAAAGTCCTCTGTTCTCCTATTAAACAATAATTATAACGTGTTTAGTACTATTTTCGTAATGTATTAAATGACTACGTTACAAATACTTTATAAAATTATAGCTCATTAACATGAATGTTGTGCGTCTTGGATATGAATATGGAAAAAGAGATTTAATTGAAAGGTATAAATTTATTAAAGCATTTAAAAATATTAACCATAAGTACTTCCACCAATTTTAAAATTACTTTGATGTTGTGAAACGTGTAGCCGACAGGATACCTACGCATACATAACTTATTTAATTGATAATAGAATTCAGTGGAAATGGAGATAAAAGTCAATTAAATTAATAGCGTCTGATAATACAATAGTAATAAACAAATAAGAAGTGAAATTATATTTTATTAATAGGCTGGCCGAATCGTTAGAGACTTACAATAATAATGTATAATACTTTTCGTTCGTAAGTTCCAAAGAAATTGTGTTTTTGGGTTTTTTCAGGATATATTAATCAAATAATCTAGTGCCTATTTTACAAAAACACAAAAAGTTTCAACTTGGAGCAACCACAGCCTGATTTAGTGGATTAAGTCAGATAAAATGGCCACTCTTTAATTGTTTAGGGTTGAAGGGTTCTGAATGTCCGATTGAAAAACTCATACGTCTGTCTATCCGTTTTTGTTTGCTAGGTGATGTTCTCCTTGTTCAAATTGATTCGATGTTTGACTATTTTCCTGATGCCTTCTTAATTAATTAATCTTTTATTATTTTATCCATGTCTTACTAGATTATTTGTGAATTAAATTCTGCTCTGAAAAAAATTGGTAAAAAAATATTAATTTTTGTAATTGATTTAATTCGTCCTCGTATTCTATTCCAATAAGGTACAATGATTTCGGCTTTCTGGATCATTTGTTACATGAGCTCTCGAAATTAATATTCCTTGCTGTTCCTTGATCGTTAACGAACTACCACTGACTTAAATACTCAAATCTCTTTGTATTGATGTATATATAAAATATTCTTAGCAGTACTAAGTAATATTAAGTTTTTTTTTTTTTTAATAAATTACTGTAGAAATATTACTTACAATTGTCACGTAAAACTGTGTAGATACGTAAGCCTATCGGAAGTACAACTGCGGCGTCAGATAATAATTAAAGATTAAAAGATTAATTTCTGGAATCAAACAGAACATAAATTGATATAGAATTAAAACAATTAACGAATAACGGTTACGATTAAAGTTTTTTGTTGTTAAATGATATCTGATTGTCTTGTTAAGAATGTTAATGAAATAAGTATTTAAAAAATTGGAATTTAATCATTTATTAAAAAAAACAACTGGCAGACAGACACACGAGTGTTCCTCTAAGGGTTCCGTTTTCCATTCGGACGTAGGGAACCTCATTCCGAGAACCAACACATTGTAGTTGAAAAAAACAAAATTCTCTCATACATTCAAACTGCAAATCTAAACATTGTTTTGTTGAAACGTTTATCACGTTATGTTCTGAGCATAGACATTGGGATCCGTCAAGTGGGCGTACACCATCTGGTGGCAAAGTTTATAACTCGAATGAGGGAAAAATTTTCATAGGAACTGTGCACGCAAATTGTAAAATTGTTTATTAAAATAATAAAACACGTTAAAAAAATAAAAATTTTTTTGATGATGGAGTCGACGAAGTTTACTTCTAAAGTTAAATCAAATAAAAAGTTGATATGTTCAGTGAAAAGCTGCAATAGCACTTCAGACATAGATCTTCACTCTTCACCTACATTAACTACTTTCCAATAAAAACTAACCGTTTTATATATGTAAAAAATATNAAATATGTATGTTACCTGTTTCTATGTTTCAATTTCGTGAAAATTCGAAAAGATTATTGTACTTACGATTTTATTAAGGCACTTGGCGCACATTTTAAATCAAACATAACGTAAAACTTTCGATTAATGGGTTGTCGGTACAATGGTATTATGAAGTAAAGTAATGTAAGGTAAAGGATGACTAACCTGCGCAGGCTGCAGCGTATAGAAATTTTCGGTTGGTGGGTTCGATGGAGGCCCCCATGGCGAGCTTATCGACTGACTGCAGCTTTCCGAAGCTTTGCAACTCTATCCCATTTCCCTGGTGCGATTCCGATGGGTCCTCCCCTGCCACCGGAATATAGCCCACGTGTCTCTCTTCTGAGCCCATTGTGGTAGATAAAAAGTAAATATTATTCGATCTTTCTTTGGAACTTTTGAAATTCTCAAATTCGCGAACCGACTAAATAAAATATTGAAATAACGGGAAACTTTTCATGGAGGGTTGCCGAAATGTGTCTTGAACCGACGAAAGATGGTACCGGATTGAGACGAAATTTTCGAGCCGAAAATTAATTCATTATCACCCCATCAAGATATAAGTTTATCGTCCAATGAACAAACACGCGGTAAGTGTATTTGTGAAGCTTTGTTTTACTCAAGAGTTAAAGCATTAAACAAATACATATCTCCTTATCACGGCCTTAAATACACAACACAGCGCGATAATTGTCGCGATTGAATCAAATTTTTCGGTAGTTGATACATAGCTAATAACTAACGATATTAATTTATTAATGACTTTATTACATTGAGCATACCTTGTTCGTTCCTGTCTGCTATATATACGCCTAAGAAAATTCCAATTCTTTAGATTTTTTTTCTTTCTTCGGTCTTTAAGATAAACGCACAAACAGATATTTTTAAAACATTCTGTCCAATCACGTATGTAACAGAAAAAGTTGTTGGTAGGCACTCGGCGCCCCAAGCGATGAAGAATAAATTAAATTTGCAATAACAGATATCTGTTTATATCTGCTCTTTTATAGTGGTAAAATTGCGATTTTTAAAACCGACCGGCTTTGCTGTAATTAGTTTGAGTCAAAGAAGTGGAAACAATTGCGTTCAAACGCAATTATCACTGTGTCGTTTGTTTTTTCGTTGTTTTTCATTTAGATCTTTACGATTTGCCGTAACAGAAGCATTGTCAATATTAACTATAATGACAATAACTGTAAAACGATGTAGAAATTGTTTCTTTAGCCATTTACCTATTCAATAGCAATTAGCAACCTTTTCTTTTTATACATGACATTGGAGACTCGGGGTGGTTCACGTACGAGGGGTATAATTTCAAAATTTGAAACTATACTGATTGGATAAGCTAGAAAACGTTATAATTTTATTGACAAATTATATTTTACTTTGAATTCTGATGTTTGCTAATTTGAGCACTAATATAAGAGGAATCCCTTATTCTGTTCTTTGACAGAACTTTTTGTGATGTCTTTACCTGCAAATATTGAGCAAAGTAACACACTTGCTCAACTGTTAGATATTATGTTACATTGAAGGCGCTTCAAATACAGCGTCCCCCACTTCTAATGTAAAGTTAAGGGTTGAACGGACAAATGATCTGCCTTTGCTCATTCGAGGTGCAATGTAAATCCAAAAGTAATAATATAATAGCTTTTGTTGGGTGTTACGTCTTGTTCGTAGTTTGATTAGTTGAGGACCGCTTCCAGAGGATCGGAAAATATTTTATGATAAGGAAAAAATTTCTACGAAGAAATGTGTAATTTTTATATTCTGTGAATGGTTTGCCTTACCTGTATATCAGTATTGGAAACTGTTTGGGTTTTTGATATTATTTTTTAAAACATATACATTCTAATGTAAGTAAGACATTTTGATTTTTTTCTTAATTAAAATAAATTATTACTGGTGTAAAAATATTGTAATACCTACACCTATGTACCTAGAAATTCCAGTAATAATTAAGTAGCTACTAGAATGGTTTGTGGCATTATTAGGCCTAGTGCTCGATTTACGTATTTTTGACCATGCAATTTAATTTCAAGTACTTCTACAATTACAATTATCACTCCTCAAATCGTTCTTTTCTTTTGTCAAACTTGAAGATAAAAATTCAATATCAATGTTATCAGTAATATCGCTCATGTTGCAAGGCTGTAATAAANATAGGTAGCCTCTAAAAATAATAGTTATTTTTTTGCAAATATTCATTTGGAATTTACACCTGCAATTAGCCTTAAACTAAAAAAACAAAACGTGATGATATATATTAATTTATATTTAACAACTAATACAATCGATGATGAATTTATGAGAAATGTTAAGTATTTTAATAACGCTTAATCCATCAATAATTTTGTACAAAGAAGAAGAAAGACACGAAACGTTACAATTACATTACTTAATTATATTTATACCTTTATTGATTAATTTATATGCCAATACTGAATAAATTATTATTTTAAGATTGATAAAATCGTTTACTAACAATTCACTTTCAAAAATTACCATCAGCATAAGGTCTTAAGACTGGCTGGACACGCGCCTTCATTCTTCCCTATCCTCGGCTAATCTTTTTTTTTTTCCCCTAAACTATAATATTCCACATCCTTAACCATTTGCGAAGAGTAATCTAATCTAGGTCTATCTCTACTCCTCCTAACTCCTGTTTTTGCTTCTAATATGTCTCTTATTGACTAGAATTTAATACTGATTGATCTTTTAGTCAAAACTTATCGAAAAATCAAGCTACTACTTGAATAAGGATCTAAAAATTTTCGACAAGATCAACATTATTAGGGGCGCCCAAGATTTTTATGGTAATGCAATTAAAATGTGTAAATAAAATAGTAATCGTTACTGTTATCATAAGTCAATAGCATTGATTAATTACACCTTGCATGCACCTTGTCATGATCAAAATGTCGCGTCGCTGGGTTGTTGACTGGCGCTGTTTACTACAATTTATTGTAGTACATGAAATTAGAAAATACGAGGCGTATCGATAAAAGGGCATAGAAAAAAAAAAAAAAAATAAATCGGAGATATTAGTATGTAAGGGATGTAAAAGAAGGGTTAGGTACAGCTAATATAGCCACTGGCTAAAGTCCGAGAGCCGGTGACATTGAAAGTAAAGTAAACAATTGTAAAATTTAAAAAAAAATGATATTTGACAATTATACGAACAAAATGGCCTTGATACGCGTTAATGTACGTAGCCGAAAGTATATTAAAAAAGTTATTTATAATAAAAAAGAAAAAATATTTTACCATCATCGCGAATTTTAAAAAATTGTGCTGTATTCGATAGGAAATTTGTTAATTTAAAAGAAAAAAATTGGCTTACTAATTTTTTTAGCCGAAAGGGCGTGGCATACTTACTTAAAGGATGT